GTGAGTGTATATACTGTATATATATATATATATATATATATATATATATATATATATTGGCATACTTTATATATTATTACTATTTTTAAAACTAGTAAAAAGAAATGGAAAAAAGTATGCCAAAATATCTTTATCTCACAGGGTCACTGCCCCAGCCCCTAGAAATACTGCAACAGATTTGGAGCAATTAATGAACCAGCTACGAGTAGTGCTATAGCCAAGCCTGATGGGGGAAATGAAGTAACAGGAACGGGCGCTAGAGACGGACAAGTGAGTCGGACGAGAAACTTGTGGCTCCGCAATCAAGGGGGAGGCTGTGGAAATGCATTGGTGAAAGAGCTTGGGCTTAGGATTTGCTTGGAACCTCTATGCTGACTTTGTGGTATAATAAAATAGAAACAACGTTGAACTTGCATCCAGAGGGGTCCCCTGTGTCTGGCACAAAACTACAGTCAGATTAGACAGGACGGGTCTGCATTGTTCACCCTCAAGTCAGTCAAAACAGGAATGGCAACAGAATGAGATACTTTGCAGGATTATCAGAGCAGTAGTTGATCAGATCTTCTGTCAGATACATCTAGCCATCACATAGGTCTCTCTGCAGTCTCACAGCACAGTTAAAAAGGAATACTGCATAATAATTATAGAAGCCCATTATCCAGCATTATTCCATACAGCTTCCTACAAATTAGTGTTTCTAAATTCAAGTTATACATTGAAACAACAAAGAGCATTATTTCTACATCAGCAGTGCTATACAGAACAGTACCCTAAAAAATACCTTATAATTGCAATGTTTAGATTTTGGACAGAAAATAAAATAAAGTTCCTGATGTTACTGTCCTAAAATAAGGACCTTGTTGTGGTTTTTACTTTACAGAAAAATTAGAGTGAGGATTTACTCTTTACTCTCTTCCAACTACAGTATAAAGGTTGGTTTTCAGTCCACTACATTGCAAATAATATATTCTTTTGCTTAACAATAATTAGCATAATGCACTGCATAGCGAAATAGAGGCAGAGCAATGGCAAGGATTATTACCATGGAGATACAGTAGGTCACCAGTCCTTGGCCAATACGAAGCCAGCTAATGAAACCAAACTAACCGTCATTGGGCTCTCGGTCTCATCAGGTAGGCCTGGTATGGATAGGTAGGCCTTTTGTCCATGAGCTGTGATGTGGCAGCTAATATTTATCAAATATATAGTGGCTCAGTAGGTAGCACAGTTACCTGACCTCCAGGGCTGGGATTGTAAATCATGCCTCTGTTCTGTTTGTGTATGGAGTTTGCATGTTGGCCCTGTGTTGTGTGGGTTTGGCTTCCTTCCGTAGTCCAAAAGTGGTTAGACATCTCTAATTATCCCATAGAGTATGACCATGTGCATATGTACCCTGTAATGGACTATAGCATCCCATCCAGAGTGAAATCCAGCCTTGAACTCCCCCCCCCATCCCCCCAACAACAAAACAACGAGTGGCTTACAAGAAAGCAGTTTATGGTTGATTAAACTTTTTGTTTATCATTGTAACTTTTCATGTTTTTACATTGCAGTTAACATTTAATTCATACAGTAGATGCATTCTCAGGAGCTAGTCACTAAAATTCACACAGGGTTATGCCTCTGGAGTTGAAAGGATTTAGGGTTTCATACATCACAAGGCTTAATGATCTTGAATACAACTGTTTTAAATAGCACTTCTAAGAGTGGTGGTGGTGGTGGGGGGGGGATTGGCTCATGGTTTTATTTATTTATGTATTTTTTTCTTACTCAGACCTCTAGTCTTGGATTGGACTATCTGAGAAGATGGTTTATTTTTCTTCTTTTGTCTTGTGATGGGAATACTGAGGTTTTAAAATTCACTGTGGGCAACATTGCTCTGCACGGGTAGCCATTGCTTAGTTTACATCAAACCATACCACAGTCTCACCTTCCTTGAAGCCTCAATGCCCCATTGCCCCTCATTATTTTCTGTCATGCCAATAAGATCCTTAGATCTGCTGTTTAATAATATCCTGGTAGAGATGTTTCTCCTAGTTTGAAGGAACTTCAGTGATTTTTAGTTTTGCGTTTTACTTGATTACGGCATATACTGTATGTGTAGTGAGGGTCATGCTTCCTGGATGTCCCTGAAGGAAATATGCAATAGAACGGAAAGCACAATAGTATAAAGGATAAGAATAATTAAGATTAAAATAACTAGATTAAACAATAAAAATAACAATGAAGATAAATTGACTGCAAATACAATAGAAATAGAGAGCAGTGTATCACCTGTTGCAATAGATGTGCCTTGACAGTGGGGGATGATAAAAGTGTATAAAGTGACTTCTGGGTGCTTGGTTCAGTTCCAAAGTGGATTCTGACCTTTGTTTGACAAATTCTCTAGAGGGACTTTTCTCCAGATGGGAATGGAAAGGGCACAGCTGTATTTATGTTTGCCCTGCCAGTTCAGTAATAGGAATCTGATGCTATGTTTTCTCCATGTGACTCTTGTCCAGTGTCTAATTTTACCTTTAGCGTGATTTATGAAGCTTTTATTATGCTAGATAAGTGAGAAAATTAAGTAACAATTTTATATTGACTAAAAAGCCAGCCATTTAGATGCTGCGTACTCTGCAAATTCCAGCAAAACTTAGGCCTGAAGTCTTTGACTGTCAGCTTGGCAAAGCACAGTAATCCTTTCAGGATTGTGTTAATGAATACACAGATCATTGTGGTGAGATGACCTCTCCAATATTTGCCTATTATGACTTACTTAATTTGCTGACTGACAATATGCATTTGGTTCAGAATATTTGGTTTGAATATAAAATCACAATATCAATGTTTTGTGCTGGAAGAGTAACAATGAAAAAATATAACAAGTTACAAAGGATGTTTTGATGCTGTTATTGAGATTTACTAGATTTATTCCATATTGGTCTCCAAAACATCAGTTCTATGTCTGTTTAATTTTTCTAGATCTTTGATTCTTGTGTTTACATTTGTGTTTATTGGCCTCACTCCCAGGTCCTGTTGCCACAAATCTGCATCAACCCTGCTGAGGGAAATCCCATGCATTTCATATTGGGCTGGTCACCGTGATTCCACAAGGCTTTTTCCTAATGAGCTTCCTGCCCTAAAGCAGCCTGAAACTGCCTGCCCTTTCTAGGTTTTCAGGTTTGAGATTTAGTCTTCATGGCCTTTAAGTTTGCAACGACACAACTAATTGAGTCACACACCTGTAACCTTAAGTCTTATTTTAATCAGAATTTGAAGCTCTGGTATATGTATATGACAAATCCTGCAAAATAAGGCAAGTCATGTCAAGTAAAGAATTCGCAAAAAGCTCTCTTGAATGCAAAGCAGTTCGCCTACATTAGTGATGCAGACATGATTGATGTTCACATTCAGACGTGCTTCGTGAAGCTTTTAAACATTTTTGTTGTTTTGTTCATTTAATTGGATATTGCAGTGTTTGCTTAGTTGAAATATAAAAAGGATTCATTATCGTGAATTTTCTCTCTCAACATGTCTAACTTTGAGAAATGGAAAGGGGGTCATTTAAGGATGTCTGTGGGATTCTGTGTTCAGTTTTTAATGCTGAAGACTGGACAGACTTTGGGGATATTTGAGGGAACTCTATAGGGGCCATGAGGAGGAAAACTGAAGTGTTTAATTTTTTTCTTTGAAGTCAGTTACAGTTAATATACTTATGAAGTAACAAATGGAAGGAGGCTAATTGCAGGAATTCAGTTGCATAGTCAGAGTTAACTAAAAATACTCCGTCACATTTTTTAAGCAACCAGATAGTGAGCAAAAACCATCTACATGGTTTTGACTTCAAAAGGTCCCTTTGAAGTCTACTTCTCAGGTTAGAAAAGACCTATAAAGCTGAACTGGGCAGATAACAACATTGAATGCACCAGAATTGTACTGCTAAAATTAACTATGGTGTACCTGCATCAAAAAGAATTATAAAAAGGGTTTTTTTTGCAATGCTCTGTCTGAAATTGTTTTACATCTGGTGTTTTCATTGGAGTACCCATTACATGAGACAAAGAGGACGATGTCTCTTTCATCAAGCAGCTTTTGTGGTTTATTCGCAGTTAGTTTCAGAGGAACGGGAGAGAGGGATTTATCTTTACGTTCATGTTTGAGTGTATAATACTCAATGCATATGGGTTTAATGTTTTATATTGGAGATGAACTTCAGCTGCCCTGTCTGAATATTTAATCCTCATCATATCCCCCGCCCACACAAATACCACCACCTGCTGTACCATATTCTTTACATCTTGCTGGCAAAGAAATATTAAAAATTTTAAACTTAAAAAAATAATAAAAAATCTAATAAGTATTATTCTGCTTTCGTGAATATTGTGTCCATTTTTTTCTATATGATCGAAGATTTTTGGTGTAATCTTTACCCAAGTTGCATCTCATGTACGTTATATAGTGAGCTTGATATAAGCCAATGTAATTTTAATTTTTATCAGATGTGGGCGAACAATTACACAATTTCATATTCACATGCCATGCATCTGTGTGGCTGTACAAAAAGTTATTCTACTCAAAAAGTCATTATAGTAATTACTACACTTTGTATGACGTACAGTGTAACGCCAATGAGATACACTTTAAGTTTTATATGATAATTTGAAACACGGTTAAAAGCGCATATTTTTATTGTGCGCTGGAAATTACACTCACAATATCATATCTTCCTTAACGCCAAGGACCTCCATGCACAAATAATATATGTAGTCTATCCATTAATGTAATAATAATAATAATAATAATAATAATAATAATAATGAAAAGCTTGTCCACGATACTTAAACCTCAGCGCCCTCTAAAGTCAACAGGACCAAATTACAAATTTTAGATAATTTAACTGTATTTTGTAATATTAAGATGTGTCGTAGCAGTATGACAGTTGATACTTTTTTGGATCACACAGATTTGAATAACATTTCGAGGAAATTTACTTGAAATATTAAACAATTGGAATGTAATTACTTATATTCGCAACGCTAACTTCCTTTATGCGTAGCTTCTTCTGTTATTATTTAAGTAATAATAGTAATTTAGATTGGGTATGGGGATAAAGCGAAGTTTGGGACTCGGCTTGCCTGCGTGATGTGAAAGCGGGGGAATTAAAACAGATGGCTACTTATAGCGACACTTTACTACGGTGAGGATGGAGCCTGGATGACAAGATGAAATCAGTCGTGATTGGAGCAGAAACACGGCGGCTGACTGATGTTTTGCGGGGGGGTTGCAGCCTTTCGGAGATTAATGCCATTTCGACTCCCCGCTCGGAGGTGACAGGAGCTGTTTCCTCTCTCCATGCATAAATAGGAATACAGGACGTGGCTGGGGAAACTTATGCCGGACTGCTCTGGATCATCAACGGTGCTGTATCGTCCTGATATATCCGAAGCTGATCATGAGATTTATCTTTTGCATTGCTTGCTTTTGGTCTTTTGCATGAAATTAATATTTCTGCGTTTAAACGTACAGCATTTTATTATTTTTTGTTTGTTTTGTCAAAGACTCATAAGGACTCCGCAGCGTCAGTTTCTAAATGTAAGTCAACACGAAGTGAGATATTAGGAAATTTTTCTGACCTCTGTAGATGTATGAGAGTGCATTATAAGTTAACGGGCTGCGATATGTATTTCAAATATGCCTGATTTTAACGTTTTTCTTTATGGCAGCAGTTTCACTCGGCATATGCTGAATTTCATCCCGATTACAATCTATATCAATTAGGTTAAACATAATTACTAAGAAAAGTTTTTCAATGCGTCTGTTATCTCGTGAATGAAAAAAAAGCAATGGCTGTAATGTTAGTTCAGTTCAAACAGATGTACACGTTAGTTCACTTTTCGGTTTTGAACTACGGGATGCTCCTTCTCATGGATGGCAACGATTCTTGATTCTCTTTTCACTGAATAAGTGAATGTGCGTGAAAAAAGGAAAGAAAGAAAAACTGCTGTAAACTGCATTAGACCATGGCCATGAAGTGGACTTGGCATCACGTTTTTGTATTGTCATTGTTGGCAGTTGGAAGTGCCTACTCTGGGGTTTTCAATTCTTCCAGTAGTAATGTTTTTGAAGGTACTTTTGAAGACCTTAAGCTCACAACAGACAGCAGTTCGGGACAAAAGAAGCATGGTGCTACCAGAACACATCCTAACCTGTATTTTGACAGAGGGGATGTACAACTACTGAGGCAGAGGTCTTCTACCACCCACAATCATATTTTCAAAATAATCCGAGCTGCTGTCAGTACCATATTGTCTAATCCTGCTTTGTACCTCCCCCCTGTGAAGCACGAGGAATTTGCCAGCAAATGGAACGAGATCTATGGAAACAATCTCCCTCCTCTTGCCCTTTACTGCTTGATATGTCCAGATGACAAGACTGCCTTTCAGTTCCTATTGAAATACATGGATCGCATGTCTGACTACCCAAGCTGGATAGTATACAGTGCTCCTAACGATGAAGTTCCCGTGGCTCATTCTCTGACTGGCTTTGCTACTGCCTATGACTTTATTTATTCTTCCCTCGACAAGCAGCGGAGGGACAAGTACCTGAAGAAACTGCTTTCTACAACAGGAGACCTGTATGAGTCGTCAAAATACAGGGGTTGGGGCAAGCAATTTTTACAGAACCATCAAACCACAAACATTTTAGCCATCTTGATTAGCGCCCTCGTGGCTGGAATGAATGAAGACTCAGAGACAATGATCTGGAAGCAGGTTGCCGTAAACTACATGGAGAAGACAATGTTCCTTCTGGGCCACATAGTGGACGGGTCTCTGGATGAAGGTGTAGCTTATGGAAGCTACACTGCCAAGTCCATCACACAGTATGTGTTCCTGGCCAAGCGTCACTTCAACATTGACAACACTAAGAACAATTGGCTACGGGCACATTTCTGGTTCTACTATGCCACACTTCTTCCGGGATTTCAGAGAACAGTGGGCATAGCTGATTCCAACTACAACTGGTTTTATGGACCAGAAAGCCAGCTGGTGTTCCTGGATACGTTCATCCTGCGGAACGGTACCGGGAATTGGCTTGCACAACAGATTCGTAAACATCGGCCTAAAGATGGCCCAATGGGTCAATCCTTAGCCCAGCGCTGGACTACTTTGCACACAGAGTACATCTGGTACGATTCCTACCTTACCCCCCAGCCACCTTCTGAATATGGAGAAGCAAGGATGCACATTTTCCCCAACTGGGGGGTGGTCACTTACGGAGCAGGCTTATCTGCTGCACAGGGTAACACATTTGTCTCCTTCAAATCGGGAAAGTTGGGAGGCCGGGCAGTTTTTGACATTGTCCATGCCAAGCCTTACTCTTGGGTTGATGGCTGGAATAATTTCAACCCAGGACATGAGCACCCAGACCAGAACTCCTTTACGTTTGCCCCCAATGGACAGGTTTTTGTGTCTGAGGCATTATATGGACCCAAATACAGCTACTTGAACAATGTCCTAATATTCAGCCCTTCACCCACTAGCCAATGCAATGAACCCTGGGAGGGGCAGCTTGGGGAATGTGACAAATGGCTGCGCTGGACAGACAAGGAAGTGGGTGATGCAGCTGGAGAGATCATTGCTGCTTCCACCCACACGGACTCCATGTTCGTAAGTGGAGAGTCAGCACCAGCATACTCCTCTGCCATGAGACTGAAAAGCGTCTACCGTGGCCTGGTGCTTCTGAACTCCCAGACGTTGCTGGTAGTGGATCACGTTGAGAAAGAGGTGGATTCTCCTGTGGAAATGCTCAGTGCTTTCTTTCACAACCTGGATATAGATTTCAAGTACATCCCCTATAAGTTTATGGGCAAACACCATGGGGCACTGATGGACGTTTGGGACGCCCATTACAAAATGTTTTGGTTTAACAATCAGGGTGCTAGCCCGGTTGCCCGGATACAGGAGGCAGAGCAGGCCGCTGAGTTCAAAAAAAGATGGACACAATTTATCAATGTTACTTTCCCCATGAGCAGTACAGTTACTAGAATTGCTTACGTCATGCATGGACCATATGTCAGGATATCCAACTGCAGATTCACTGACGATAGCAGAGATGGGCTTAAGTTATCTGTTACTGTTAATGACACTGAGAAAATAGTTTCCCTAGCAACAAACTACAAAGATATAGGCTCCCGTTTCAAATATTTGGGATTTGGGGGATATGCTAAAGTAGAGGACCAACATCAAATTACGTTTTTTGGCTTTAAAACGGGAGTTATCTCCAGGCAAAATGTGGAAGGCAGTGCACTGTTTGACTTTGGATTTACAGTGAACATCTTAGCTTGGATTTTACTATGTGCTGGAATTGGATTTGTAACTTTACAGAGGAAGTTTTACATTTGGTTCAGCAAGGTGACACGTTATGTGCTTCTTTCCATCCTCCTGCTCTGGATGATAGAACTCCTGTTTGTTTCCAGTAACTGTCAACACGTCCTTTGTGGGCTGAAATGGAAACCTGCTGAAACTGACTTTAAAACCAGAGCACCGATCAAACTTAATGATGGCCACCCTGTCCTCTTGCCAACTGTTGTCATAGCAACTCTCCCTGGTTCAGGAGCAGAAATATTGAAGCACCTCTTTTACAATTGCTCCGATTTCATTTACTTACATGTTCCTACAGAGCACTTAGATATTCCAGAGACAGAAACGCAGTTTGATTCTTTTCTAGATGCATGTGAATGGTCAAAGCTGGATGCTCAGCAGGGTCGGTTTAATGTTATCCGGGGCTGGTTGCACTCCTTGGTTTTCAGCACCAAGCTTCACCTTCAAAACACTCAACTGCACGAAAGCACCAGGTCCAAACTGACACTTAAAGGTGGAGCTTCTAAAAGAAAGAGAACTAGGTGGAAGGAGATTGTTTTGGAGCAGAAAACTAGAGGGAAGGGAAACTTGGACAGGGATGCCGAAGACGTCAGAGATCTTCGTAGGCATCTGGACCAGTACCAAAATGCTCGAGTGGTTCTGAGTCTGAGGAGTGGCAGCTGGGTCTTAAAACTCCCCTTTATTCAGGAGGTGATTGGCCCTTCCTTGAGGTCAATATACGTTGTCAGAGATCCACGGGCATGGATCTACTTGATGCTGTACAGCAGCAAGCCCAGTCTCTATTCCTTTAAAAACATAGCACAGCACCTGGCACTCATCTTTAAGAAAGATGGTATCAGGGACAGGTGCCCAAGGGACTTGAGCCCAGAGTTCCGGGTACTTCAGCAGCTCCTTTTGCACTCAAGAACCAGCCCAGTCTTGGTGTTAGCCCACCTGTGGCTGGCACATACAACCGCTGCACTTAGGGTCCACGCTGGCCTGTCTGTTGACACCTACCTCCAGGTGAGGTTTGAGGACATTGTGCAGTTCCCCCAGGAGACCGCGGAGAAGATACACACTTTCCTGGGTGTCCCACTTAGTCCGGTGGCCCTCAACCAGCTCATGTTCACGACTTCCACAAACTTGTACAACCTCATGTATGAAGGGGATATTTCACCAGCTAACATCAATATATGGAGGCAGAACATGCCCCCCAAGGAAATTAGACTAATAGAAAGGACATGCTGGTTTGTAATGAAGAGGTTGGGGTATTCAAAGTTTGTGAGCTGATTGCTACATGGCAGCTCTGATTATTTTGTGTTAGTGTGAAGCCAAAAGTGAAAGTAACAATAACAGTAATAAATCGTTGCCCTTAATTTAAAGTGATATTGTTAAGGGTGTTTCACTCTATGCTGTTTATCTTAAAGTGTTTCTTTCAGTAAGGTTATGCTGTATTCAGTATGTGTTCTTGGTGTTTTAGTAGTCCTGGCCTAGATCTATAAATATACTCAGTGGTTATTTTATTAAGTACACCTAGTACCAGATAGGACTCATTTTTGCCTGCAGAACAGCTCGAAGGGAGAGGAGTTGTGCCTTCAGAGAAGCCTTTCTGCACACTGTTGTACTGAGCTGTTATTTTTGCATGTGTGACCTGCCTGTTAGCCTTAACTAGTCTGCCAATTTTCATCTGACCTCTCTTATTAACGAGGTGTTTTCAGCTCCAGAGCTGCCCCTAACTGCACTATCGTTTGTAGGTTTTAAACACAGTAGTGTATGGAAATCCCAGCATCGTGATGTTCCTGAGATTCTGGAACCGAACACATCTGTCACCAACAATCACAATATGTTACAGTCACTTAGATCAGACATCTTAACTGTTGTAATGCTAAACGCTGTGAACCTTTTAACCCTGCCTGTATGTATTCAGCTGCAGCTACATGATTTACTGTTTGTAGGAGGAGGCTGTTTGCATTAACAAACAGGTGTACTTATTAAACTGGTCACTGAGTGTACACAAATGTGCAGTTTTCATTTTGTTACAGAGTGAATAGTAATCAGTCTCAAAGGGTGTGAGTTTATATGTATTTTTGAAAAGATTATAGAATGTCTTATTTAAATGTGTATATGGTTCAACAACAAACATGAAATTCTGTTTTGAATTTTTAGTTCTTTTGAAATGTCATTATTTTTGTCATTCAGAGAACTGATCTGTGTTTTGTTGGCATGGTGGCCTAATGATTTGTTAGTATATTGTGTTGTGGTTTTAACTGTTAATTTGATTAATGTGAGCCTGACCAGGATGAGTGGTTGGACGTGGGATGGATGTTGATTTTATCCTTGGAATATTGAGAAATTTGCTAATTTACTCATTATTAAATTATAACTAAGTCAGTGAAAGTCTTGCTTTGCCTGGGATGGTGAGCAGTAACCATGTGACCCAGACACAGCAGGACGGAATATGGACTGCAATTCGGGAAGGGAGTGAAGCCAGGATCAACAGTGACTCGGAGGAACTAAACAAAAACATCAGCACTTGGAAAATGCAGAGGAACAGCAAACAGGGTGTGGGAAGGGCAGCAGCTGGCAGTGGAACTGGGCATCAGGGTTTGGGTGCATGCAGTTTGGCATGAATGTTAGGCACTCTGTACCTTACAACAAGGTATTGGAGGTTTGGGCTACTGTATATCTTACATGTTATTTATGTAACAGATACTTTTATCCAAACCAATGTATGTTTTTTTTTTTTGAGTAACTGGAATAATTGGGGGCAATTGGCCTTGCTTGGGGGATCAACAGTGAAACTGTTCTGTCAACTGTGGGATTTGAACCAGCAACTTTCTGATCATAGGTACAGCACCCAAACTGGTTAAGCCACACATCATCCCCTTTTAATGTATCAAAGTGCTAGATGATTTAATTTGAGTTTGACACAATATCTGCAACTTTAAATTCAATTAAATTTAATAAATAAATAGTCCCAAGTCTGTGGCGTATTTTGTTGGTTATTGATGAAAGTGTAGGGCGCTGGAGATTACATCGTCATATGTGACCAGAGAGCTCTTTTTAGCAAGATGTACATAATGTATGAATGATCGCTGTAACTCAGAAATAAATTATTTGTAGATTTGTTCCAACGTATCCTGAAGGACATAAATATTCCACAGGTTGGTGCTGACAAAATCCTGACATGTTTTAACAAGTGAAATCATACCAATAATTGACTTTTGAGAGAAATGTCTCTGTCTGAGATTAGGTTAAGGGTCCTTCTAAATGCCCTGTCCTTTGAAAACTCTGAAAAGTTCTAATTCTGTAGCTTGTTTTTCACAATATTCACGATGACATTCTGTATAGCCACTGTGGTCACTAATGACTGTTTTACATCAATTTGTTATGTATTTTTAATAGTGTCCTGGTGAATGGGACAGGATATATATAGTAATAGTAATATATCTGTGTGTGCATGTGTGTTTGTCCCTAAATGGTATTTATGACAAATCCTGGATATTATGTACAGTATATGTAACACAGGACTATGTGTGATAGTTCACCTTATGGAGAATTTGTTACTAAGTGAATTTTTGCAAACTACACAAAATAACATTTGTTAATTGTGCAGAACCATGATAATAGCTGCATTTCTAATGAGGATAACTACTTTTCGCTGAACATCTTACATGATGGTAATATGGTAATTATAATGATGTTTTTATTGCAGTGTTTCCTCTAGGTTTGCAGATTTTTTTTTTTTTTGGGGGGGGACAGGACAGGATTCATGGTGTTCATGTGATTCTTTTAATGACTACAGTCAATATAACAACTGAACTAAACATCAGAACATTTCTTTTTATGACAATTATCCATAAAGTGTGCAGCTTTTGTCACTGCAGTGTATCTTTGTGGGCTTCTGGAGGAACATTTCTAGAGCCTCTTGATATGGGATATCGGAAACGTCTGACCCATTTATTGAGATCCACATGCAGGCTACAAGATGGTCTCCTTTCAGTCAATTGTGGATGTTTATCTTGACCTGCAAATACATTAACTGCAAATACATTAACATTTAAAAGTGATAGCTGATAGCTCAAAATAGTGATAGTTTAAAGTAGAAAATCCCATTGTGAAACGTATTTATTACCCTGTTCATGGTTGAGTCCCTCTCACAATTTACACTGCTGACCAGGTGGTTGATGCGACATATTTTCCGAGGCTCGCTCTCTGTCCGCTGGTGGGAGTCTGCTCACCTGTGTGTATCTCAGGGATCCCCGCAGGGAGCATGTGGTGGTGGGAGTAGCTCACCTGCGTGTCTGTGCTCACGCATCTGGGCGGAAATCCGCCAATGGTTGATATAGAGAGCAGAGGAGAATTGTAAACACGTGACCGTGTAGAGACAAAAATGCCAAGCTGTTGTGTAAATAAGATAAATAACATAAGGCTATTTAGTTTGTTTCATAAAAGGACAATGTATAGACCTATTCTATAGGAAAGGTAACCTTAAATGACGTCTGTTGTGATCTGGTGCTATATAGAAAATAAAATTAAATACAATTAACTTGACCTTCAAAGGGGGGCGGGGCACCCCCGTAATATAATGGTAGGGGAAACACTGTATTGGGTGCCATTGGGTTGGTGTTGCATCTTGGCAACCATAAAAATGGCCATAGTCCTGAATGTCTTCTATCTGGGTCTCCAGGCATAACATTGACATGTTAGCTGTCATGATCATTTAAATTATCATAGTGGCAGAAATAATACATTATAGTGGTTTAACAATACATTTATATGCAGTAATTGTGCTGGATGAAGAGCGTAATATAAAACAATATAGAAACCATGACATGAATTTCATGTCATCAATCTTCATCTCACATTAATTTGAATTATATGATAATCTTCCATTTTTTGTTTGTCTGGAATGAGATGGGGCTTTTTTCTAGATAATGTGTCTACTGTGAAGTTCATTATAGCCAATATGTTGAACAAAAAAAAACACTAATGAAGAGATTTTGGGAGAAAAAGTGAAATTCTCTCCCAGCGAATTATGGCCTGGGATCTCAGTAGCATTTGCATAGCTCCACTATACTCCCAGTTATGGTCAATGAGGACAAAATGTGCATTAATGGAGGATATGATTCCATTTCAGTGACTCATCAGCCAAGGACCATCCCTGGTCTCTGCACTCTGGGTGCTGGAAGAACCCAGTCTGTCCACACTTTATTATTCACGTTCTTCTTTCAGTTCCATTCTGTATTTCTGTATGTGTTTCTGAAAAGAATCCATAAAATATCTTCATGCTTTTCTTCATTTTAGTGTGTGTGTGTGTGTGTGCGCACGCAGTATAGTCACCTTGTATAATCCAGTGGATAATCTTCTTATCCTGCTTAATTCTGTAAAAAGTTTGGAAAAAAGTATTGGTTTTATAACAAAAGTCCTTTGACAAGCAATGTTTAACATTTCTACACATATCTTCCACACAGATATTTTCTTTTTATTAAGTGTCAATTTTTTTTGATTGACTCATATCTGTTCTTGCCATTTTGCTAATAATTGTAATTGTAGTCATTGGCTCCCAAATGGATACTAAAACACAAATGTTTGGTGCTTTATGTTATTGCAATGGTGTTACTAATTAAAAAGCACCCAATGAGACTGTGTGTCAATGGACTTTTTAACTCAGAACAACTCTTTTAGAACTATAACTTGGGTTTCAATTTATTGCTACTTGAAATTAATGTTTTACATAAAACTATTGGTTGTTTATAATGTGATCTATATTTTGGTAAGAAAATAAATAAAATAATGATTTTTGTTATGAAACCAATACATTTGCAATATTTCTATTGAATTAAGCAAGTGCCCCAAAACTTTCTGTGAGCTCTGTATATGATATAATGATTTATATACAATGAGGGAAATAATTATTTGACCCCCATTGAATTCCTAAGTTCACCCATTTATAAAGATATGAGAAGTCTATAATTTCAATGGTATGTTTATTTCAACATCAGAAGATAGATTTTCAACAAAATAAACAAGAAAAATATTATGTAACAGGTACAAATTAATTTGTCATTTATCTAGGGAAATAAGTATTTGATCCCCTACAAGTCAGCAAGAAATTAACACATTAACACAACACAAGTAGTATTTAATTATTAACAGATACCAAGCCAGCATTCACATTTAATGGCATTACTTTGTTTAAAGAGTATTCTTTGATCACTAACCTTTCTAGATCTTCATTCTTATCACCATGAGAGACACCAGAGAGCTATCTAAGGATGTCAGAGACACGATTGTTGACCTTGACAAAGGTGGGATGGGCTACTGACCATCAGCAAGCAGCTTGGTGAGAAAGTGACAACTGTTGGTGGAATTATTTGAAAAATGGAAGAAAGACAGAATAAGTGTCAATCACCCTGGATCTCGGGCCCCAAAGAAGATTTCGTCTTGTGCGGCATCAATGATCTTAAGAACAGTGAGGGCTAACCCCAGAACTATACAGGAGGAGCTCGCTAATGATCTCACAGCAGCATGGACCTCGGTTGCCAAGAAAACCATTGGTAACACAGTATGCAGTTATAGTTTGAAATCCTGCAGTGCTCACAAAGTACCCCTGTTCATGAGGGCCCATGTTCAGACCCATCTGAAATATGCCAGTAAACACCGGAATAATTCCAATGAGCCTTGGAAGAATGTGATGTGGTCAGATGAGACCAAAATCAAGCTGTTTGGCATCAACTCTACTCACTGTGTTTGGAGAGAAAAGAATGCTGACTGTAACCCCAGGAACACCATCCCTACTGTCAAACACAGAGGTGGAAGCATTATGCTTTAGGGGTGTTTTTCTGCCAAGGGTACAGGACGGCTGCACTGCATCGAAGGAAAGATGGATGGGGCCATGTAGCGTAAAATCTTGGAAGAGAACCTCCTTCCTTCAGCCAGGGCACTGAGAATGCATTATGGGTGGGTCTTCCAGCAAGACCACATGGAGTGCCCTAGCCAGTCTCTGGACCTTAATCCCATAGAAAACCTATGGAGGGAACTCCAGCTTTGTGTATCCAAGTGAATAATAAAAACCTTAAAGATTTGGAGGAGATCTGCAAAGAGGAGTGGATGAAAATTCCTGTTGAGCTGTGTGCAAACCTGGTGACCAACTACAGGAAACATTTGACAGTTGTGCTTCCCAACAATGGTTACTCCACCAAGTACTAAAGCATGTGTTCCAAGGGATCAAATACTTATTTCCCTAGATAAATGACAAATTGGTTTGTAACTGTTACATGATGATTTTTCTGGCTTGTTTTGTTGATCTATCTATCTTTTGCTGTTAAAATAAACCTACCAGTGAAGTTATAGACTTCTCATTTCTTTATTAATGAGTCAATTTAAGAATTCAGCAGGGGGTCAAATAATTATTTCCCTCACTGTATATACTGTGACTGCAGGACATGTTGTGGAAAATTTGGGCCTGATTATTATTTTAATGTATAACAGGAATACCTTTAAAGTCACTGATTATTATTAAACTCACAAGCTAGATAAATTCTTTCAACTGAGTATCACTCAAATGCACTAAAAAAGGGTTGTAATACAATGTATGCATGTCCCATCCCCCATTGGCCGTGACATAATGGCTGTTTAGGTTTACAGGCATATTGATGTCATATTTAAGTCAAGGTTATTCAAAGAAAAGGGAAAGAGCTGCTCAGTGTTCTCCATCTGCCAAACCTGGCTGCTATTTCTGTCTTTTTCGGAACCCCAGATTCCAGTACACATCATATTTTCCTTGTAATGCTAGTGTTCTTTTGACATGGATTTTTACCGAATGCTTAGAGAAACTGCCAAAAACTATATGTGTTATAATCTATTGGATGTTAAAGAAGTAATGTAGTTTTTGATTTAAGGTCCTGCTCTTTACCTGGATTTACAAGGTAACATCACCTACACCATTATTCAGATACACCATAGATGATGTCCATCC